ACTATTGTAAAAATTCTTTTTGTGGGCCTTTTCCTTTTTTTCTTTTCCTTTTTTTTTTTTCTTTTTTTTGGTTTTTTTTTTTGTTTTTGTTTTTTTGCAGGGTTCCGGGGTGCACTTTCCCATCGCCATTGGGGGCCCGGGAAAAATTTTCCCCGCTGCTTTTTTGGTTTTTTTTCTGCGGCGTTTTTGCTCCCGGAAAGCCCGCCAAAGGCCTCACCCCTTTTGAAAAAACATTCGCAAAATGTTCAAGGCTTCAATTCGCCTCCAGAAAGCGGGCTTCAAGTTTTTCACACCTCAAATCGCAACAAATTGACGTGGTATGTTTACAGTGAGAACAGGTTTTCTCAGTCCCTTCCGCAACCACGTTCTATCTTTCACCGCTCTACTATCCCACTTTTTACACGGCCTCGGCTCCTGAGAAGCGTTCGGGGTGTCCTGATCGCTTTTAAAACGCAATCTCCCCTTTGTCTGTGCTAGGAATATAGCGGACCCCCACGGGCAGGTATTGCTTCTGCAAGGCCACCCTCCTGGGACCAGGAGGTTACTTTTGTCTCTTACTACGCGCCTAATCGTTTTCAGGATAAATTCTTTTCACATCTTTGCACCATTGTTTCCCGACACTCTAAGGGTCTCCTTGTTGTTTTGGGGGATTCGAATGTTACTTTGGGGATTCCGCAATGGATAGGCGCTGCGCACGGGGGGCGGCTCCCTTCTCATGACTTGGCGCTGGAGGAACGTATGCGCTCTCTCCTGCGGACAGCGGGGCTGGCGGACGGTCTGGAGGGAGCCTTCACCCAACGGAACGGGACTTTACATTTCTATTCCAGTCCCTCATGATAGTTTTTGTAGAATTGTTTGATCATATATTTTGATGCAGGTTCAGCAGCTTCCCTTGGTCAGGCAGGACTTAAACTATTCCCTCCCTCGCCTTGGTCGGATCACGATCCCTTTGGTACTTCTCCTTGCCCTCTCTGGGTCAGAACGGCGCCCTTTTCATTGGCGCATCAATGATTCTTTATTGACCACTCAGGCTACCTGCCAACAAATAGAATTTTTTTTTACGAACATTACTTTACGGAAAAACGCGGGATCGGTCTCCTCTGCAGTGCCCCAATGGGAGGCGCATAAGGCCACGGTGCGGGGTCATGTTATACAGCTGGCGGCGGTCCGGAAGCAGGAGCGCTGACTTTTGGAGCTTCATTCTCTCCTGGCCTCTGCGGATGCGCGTTGGAAGTCATCTCCATCCCGCGGCCCATAAACGCGCTCGGGACGCTCTGGCGGCAGAGTTGGACTTACTTTGCCTCTTCGGAGGCAGAACGGGCCCTGCGCTGGACCAAACACACAATTTTATTCCTGTGCTAATAAGCCGGGCCCGATGCTGGCCAGGAAAACTCAATTCTGTGGGGAAACCCCATAAACCGATTCGACTGCGACTTTCCTACAGGTGGCTGTACTTCTAATCCCCAGCAGATTGTTTCCTTTTCCCGTTTCTCCAGACTTCCTTTCACGCCTCTTACGCTAAAACCAGATCCCTTCCCCGTGGCTCAGGCAGAGGCATTCTTTCAAGATCTCCGACTTCCTGGGTTATCCGAGGCGGCACAGGTGGCACTCAACGCCGGTGTCCACTGTACCAGAAGTGCTCCAAGCTATCAAATCTTTACGGTCCACCGCGGCCCCCAGGTCCCGACGGCTTTTCGCGGTCTTTATTATAAGAAATTCTCAGCCTTGTTGGCGCCCTTTTTGGCTGAGTATTTTAATAATGCGTTACGACAGGGGCTCCTCGCCCTCTCCAGATGCGCTTAGAGCGCATATCGCCATGATTCCTAAGACGACTGATGATATGTACAGGAACCGCAAGCAAGCTTCCGGCCTATTATTCTCTTTCTTAATGAAGACCTGAAGATACTGGGCATGATCCTTAGTGTTCGCATCAATAAATATTTGCGTAGTGCCTGGGTCCACAGGGACCAGGTGGGGGTTCGTACCCCGGGAGGCAGGCGGGTGGGTGATAACGTCCGTAAGGTGGTCCATCTTATACATTTTCTGCAAACAACGGAAAAATCCCAGGATTCTTACTGTCTTTAGACATCTATAAAGCTTTTGATTCTCTATCCTGGGAATTATCTGCCGGTTTGTGCTGTCTCGTTGGGGTTTTGGGGATTCTATTCTTTCTTGGATCCAGGCCTTGTATTCTTCTCCTTCGGCCTCCGTCAAATACGCTGGGTATTTTATCAGATCCCTTTCCTATTGGGCGCGAGGGACAAGACAGGGTTGTCCCCATGTCCCCAGCGCTCTTTGTCCTGGCGCTTGAGCCGCTGGCTTTAGCGCTTCGGACCGATTGCAATGTATCGGGGGGTTCCTTACGCGGGACAGGAATTCAAACTGAATCCTTTTTGCGGATGATGCCCTCCTGAACTCTTACTAACCCCCTGACGACGCTTCCTAATTTGCAACAGGGTTCTTGAGCGCTTCTCCTTGATTTCGGGGTCTCCGTTATCAACTTGGATAAGACTACTATAGCCCTCAATATTACTTTGGCTTCGGAATTTGGTTTCGCGCCTACAATCCCACTTCCTTACAAATGGGCTTCCTCTTCTCTTTGAATACTTTAGTGCGTTCACACTTGACCCCCACTTATGACTCCCTGTTTGCTGCAAATTTATTATCCATTGCTTAGCTCTCTACTCCTCTCTTATGCATTCTTGGCAATTTCCGCATCCCTGTCTTGGATAGGACGGGTTAATTCGGTGAAAATGACCATCTTGCCGAAATTGTTGTATTATTTTTCGCACACTCCGGTGCGGGGTTCCCCCTCATTTTCTTAGGTTGCTTCAGGCGAAGTTTAATGCGTTTTATCTGGGCCGATAAGCACCCCAGAGTATCCAAAAGTACGCCCTTTTTTGCCCATAGACTTCAGGGTGGTCTTGGGGTGCCTAATGTGACTAAGTATTATCAAGCGAGCCAGATTGCCCCGCTGTCTATGTTGCACGCCTCTTCCGACGTCCCCCTCTGGGTCCTGTTGGAACTACCTAATTGTGCCCCTATCGGCACTGTCGACGCTTCTATGGCTTCGCCCCTGCCCTGCGCCCTATGGCACTGAGTCCGATGTTACTTCATGGCCTACAAGTTTGGGACTCGGTACGTTATTCTGGTGGTCTGATGTCACCTTTTCTGCCTTTGCTACCTATTATTAACAACCCTCTTTTCCCGCCGGGTTTGGATCACCCAGGGGCGTTTTTCTTGGTGGGTGACTAATGGTTTTTCGCAGGTGCGACACTTTTTGATTTTTCGGTCCTTTTCCACCTGGGACTCTCTTCGGGAATCCCGGAATATCCCCCAGCGGAATTTTTTCGATATCTTCGTTAATTGCGACACTGGCTGCTCTCGCTGCGGGGTACTTCTGCGTTCCCGTACCAGAAATCTGCCTTTGAACAGCTTTGCCAACAGCGAATCTCTTCCGGGCGCTTCCGGGCCTTATATCCCTTCTTTATGCAGCTCTGAACAGACAATATACGCTCTTACGAGAGGGGGGGGGGGGCGCGCATTACTTCTTTTCCTTTCATATGTTGTTCAGTGGGAGCGCGACCTGGGAGTGGCTGTGGATCCGGAGGACTGGAATAAGGCCTGGTCACTCATAGCTAAATGCTCATTTAATACGACCACACTGGAGGCAGCCTATAAGGTTTTGTTTCGTGGTACTGGGTTCCGGCTCGGTTGGCCCGGGCTAACCCTGCCTGTAGTGATCGATGTTTTCGGGGTTGTGGTCATCGTGGTGATGTATTGCATATCTGGTGGTCATGCCCGAGACTGTTTCGTTTTTGGTCTCGGATGTATTTGGCCTCCTTTTCACTTTGTTCCATCTCTCCATACGCCGGGATGTTTCGGTATGCTTTGCTTCATTGCCCCATACCGGGCCTCTTGGCTCACCAGCAGAAGTTGGCTTCCTATCTGTTTTTATCCGCCACTAGAACAAATTGCTCAGGCCTGGAGGAGTCCGTTTGTCCCTCTTCAGGGGGTGCGGGATCGTATGACCACTATGATGCTCAACGAACAGATGTCGAGTATCCGCAATGACTCCCAACGTAAAATTTTTGAAAAATATGGGAGCCGTGGTTGCAATATGCCCTTCCCTCACTCTCCCCGGCTAGTCTGGGGATGTAATGGCGTTCGGTGTTGGCGCTCTTGAATCCCTGCTCTTTGCCCCCCCCCCCCCTTTTTTTTTTTTTTTTTTTCTTTTCCTTTTTCTCTCTCTCTCTGTTTTTGGTGTGACTAGGACAGCTGCATTTAGTTGTTATAATCAGTTACATTAATGTTTTGTAACTTATGTGCCTTTGATAGCCCCTGCGTGGGCGTACCTTTTGCCCTGTTGGCATTAGAGCATTGTTTTTCCCCCTTTTTTTTATTTGGCATTTTGTTTATCTGTGCAATTGATAGCCCCTGCGTGGGCGTGTTTTACTGCCTCTGTTTATACTGTTTAAAAAAATTTAATAAAAACCATTGAAATAGAAAACAAAGCAAAGTGTATGGAGGGAATATTGGCTTCATGCTTCTAGACCAATGTTTTTTAACCTTTGAATCAAGACACCCCGCTTAGTCCCTCCCTCCTGTTGCGTGCCCCCACAGCAAAGAAGCTTGCTATAGAGGCACCTGAGCATGTGCACTCCCCAGCCATTTCTCCATGTGTCCATTCACACATGGAGAAGGACTCTGCCCCCCCCCTCTTCTCATTTGCACACTGGCTGTGATTGACTGCAGTGGGAGCCAAAGGATCCTGCTGCTGTCTCAGCCAATGAGTAGAGGGAGTCCCAGGATAGCATAGACTCCAGTTTAGCATCACTGGATTGGGGGGAATCCCTGCACAGAAAAGGAGTTTTTTTTTTTTACCTTGATGCATGAAGATAAAAACCCCTTGAGCCTTTACACATTAAACCAAAAGAGCCCATCTTCTTAAGCTTATAGGCAGAAAAATGTCAAAAATACATATTAAATGTAATGAACCAATCAATGATATCCCATTATCCCTGGAAATCTCAATAATAAAAAGGTTTCATTTAGATACTTGCCTATTTCCCATGTTTTAAATCAATATCGCAGTGTCTTGCCAGAACCCGGCCATGCTGCTCATCCACTTATCTGAAAGAAGATAGAGGTTCCACTAAATAAAAAAACCCAAGAGGATGACAAGGGGCATTAAGCCCCAATAATTTATCAAATTTTAAAACAAATTATAAAATATCAGAATTTTTCTATTAATGTTTAGTTGATATTATAACCTAAAATACTTTCCAAGCTTATACAACATTACTTTAGAAGACTCAACCATTCAGATTATGAGCATTGCACATGAATACTGCTCTGCTGGGACCACAAAGAGCCTGCAATCAATGGGAAATCATTTGCAATGCATTCTACACTGCTCCAGGGTGGGCATAAATGAGCAGTGAAGGGGAATTACCAGCATTGTATACAGACAATGCTACAGTGGGGCTTGATTGCGCAACATTTCATCATTTGCATTTATAGAAAACCCCACTCAAGTCAATGAGTGAATCACTATGGGCATTGCGTATGAAGAGTGCTCTGTTGGGGAACACAAAGAGCATATGCGCAAAGGGAAATCATTTGCAATGCATTCTACACTGCTCCAGGGTGGGCATAAATGAAGCATGTGGAGGGGAATAACTGACATTGTATAACAGACAATGCTAAAGTGGACTTCAATTCACAACACATCATCAGCATTTCAGATCATTGCTCCAGTCAAGGAGACAATGGCTATGTGCGATGCATATGAACGCTGCTCTGTTGGGACCACAAAGAGCCTGCAATCAATGGGAAATCATTTGCAATCGCATTCTACACTGCTCCAAGGTGGGCAGAAATGAGCAGCCAATGGGGAATTACCAGCATTGTATACTAAACACAATGCTACAGTGGGGCTTGGGAGGTCCTATCAAATGCTGCTCCAGCATGCAAATGAGCAGCAATGGGGATGGCTATGTGCATTGCATCTGAATGCTGCTCTGTTGGGACCACTAAGAATCTGCAGAACCAACGGGAAATCATTTGCAATGCATTCTACACTGCTCCAAGGTTGGCAGAAATGAGCAGTGAAGGGGAATTACTGGCATTGTAGACAAATAAACTAATAGTGCTTATAGTGTTCTTGGGGGGGGGGGGGGGGGCCCCCCCCCCCCCCCCGGGTCTTAACTAAATTCTGCTCTAGCAAATGAGCAGCAACAGATGGCTGTGTGTATTGTGTCTGAGAGCGGCTGCTCTGTTGGGGACACAAAAAAAGTCTTGTGACGAACACGGTCGGGGGAGGAGGGGGGGGGGTGTGACGACTTATTTTTTTTGAAGTGGGAGCGGCACATGCCTGACCTTTTCCCCACCCCCCAAGGGGATAAGGATTCTGACGTAGTACCAAAAGTCTGACCCAGGAATAGAGATTGTTGATTTTGGCTTGGCCGACGAGCGTTTGTTGACTCTAGTATGGTGCCCTCATACTAGAATCAAGAAAAACTCAGAACCATTCCAAAATCAACTCTCTGTATTCCCAGGAAGAAAGGATGTACAGTTCTAAGACAATCCTCTCCCATTTCCATTCATAAGCCATAATTGAGCGTTTGGACCAACTGTGAGGCTGCAGTGAGGCAGTGAGTGCAGTGGGGAAGGAGACTGAATCATATCCAGCCCCGGCCTTCTCAGAGAAGTGGGCACTCCTTCCCCAATCCAGCAAAGTCTGAGATTGACTCAGTCTCCAAGCCCGCTGCTACATAGCAGCTTTGCAATTGGTCCAGATGCTCAACCATAGCTCACAACAGAAAGTTAAGAATGTCTTACAACAGTTAGACCCTTTACTTCCAGAGAGTGGGGGCACTCTCCGTAGACTTTCCCAAGAGGGATCAGAGGGAAATCCTTGTTTAGCCTTTCATCCCTGTATTCTGCTGAAAGAGAACTCCTTGAAACCGGTAACCTGCAGGGTAAGCACGAGTTGTGGGCTAAAGAGACGAACGAAAAAAAGAGACGAACGGACACCTGATGAAGCAGTATTGCGTTGCTCTGATCCACCAAAGCTCACGAAAGACAACCTACAACCCAGGAGCTCCTTCTCAGCTAGAGACTTCAGACTGAACCAGAAAGACTCTCCAATCCCAGGAGTTATGATAACATTTCATACCTCTGGTGATATTCAGCAAGCTAACAGACTTTACTTATTTGGCAATACATTTAGTAAATTTAATTTTGGGTCCACAGAACTTTGTGGCTACCCAAGTCATGAGTTTTGATAAAAGCTCATAACTCAATCTGGTGATATATTCAGCAAGCTATAGACTATCATCATAACTCAGCTTAGGAATGCATTCAAGTAAATTCATTTTTGGGTCCACAAAAGTGTGTGGCTAACCCATGCCATGAGTTATAATAAAAGCTCATAACTCTGGCAATACCTTTTGCAAGCAATAGACTATCATCCGTAGACTTTCCCAAGAGGGATCAGAGGGAAATCCTTGTTTAGCCTTTCATCTCTGTATTCTGCAGAAAGAGAACTTCTAGTTTCAAGCTACGGATGGAAGGAAAGGGATTGTTCCGACGGCAAGCGAGAAGAGGGGAGCTTGAGTCTGAGCGATTTCCAGTGTCAGTCAATACAAGTTAAAGGGATGAACGCTGCTCCACTGACTCCAGTAGTCCAGCGTTGAGGAATGGCCTCAGCCTCTGTTCTGGCCACGCCCTCCGATGTGTTTTACCCCGCCGAACGGGGCTTGGCCACTCAAGTAATGAGTTATGATAAAAGCTCATAACTCAATCTGTTGATATTTAGCAAGCTTTAGACTATCATTCATAACTTAGCTTAGGAATGCATTCAAGTAAATTCATTTTTGGGTCCACAAAAGTGTGTGCTAGCTAACCCATGCCATGAGTTAAAATAAAAGCTCATAACTCGGCGATACCTTTTTGCAAGTAATAGACTATCATTCTGAGAGTTTTTTATAATTTAGGTACCTACCATCCACTAAAGCTGCAGGAGCAGAAAAGGGTTTCCTTCTTGATTGGCGTATTTCATGGCTTCCCATGTTGCTTGGAGAGATCATGTCTTCCCATGTTGCTTGGAGAGATCATGGCTTCCCATGTTGCTTGGAGAGATCATGGCTTCCCATGTTGCTTGGAGAGATCATGGCTTCCCATGTTGCTTGGAGAGATCATGGCTTCCGTCTGGACACGGAAAAGAAAATTTACAATAACATAATACCCTACTTATCCCACATATAATGAAATCTTCATTTTGGGTTAAATAGCACAACAATGTAAACATGTCATGATGTAAGGTCTAAGTCATAAGTCTCTATGCATTCTTGTCCTGTTTTAGTTACTCTTACACAAGCCATAGATTATACAATTTTCTTTTCCACCATCACAGATGAAAGGAAAGAAAATCACTCCATTCCCAGATCAACACAGTCAATGTTGATGGGAGAATCCCTCCCACACAGCAGTATGGTCTTCTGCCATCAGGGAGTGTTGGGAGCCTTCCCTGCCGATAGAACACAAATTATCAGTGCAGGTACTAAAGTAGTTGGATGGATAGACTTCAGTACAACCAGACCGTCCAAAGATGGATGGAATCTCGCACGGTCACTAATGAACCTGATGAGACTTGATTCATCTAATGGTCAGCTTTAGTGTTACATGATTATCTGATCGGTAGTTCAGTGTAAATCTATAGACTTACATCCGCTTGCCTCCGAGTATTTATGCACAGAAAAAAAACAAAAACGAAACAAACTGCATCCTTTTCCATATTTCAGGATGAAAACCTTATGCTACTGGGGAAGCCTGATTTAAACTGATGCAAGTCCATTTTCATCCAGCTGCCCATAGACCGAACATTGGGGTCTGAAAATAGGTCAGCTGTCAAAAATTGAAAATACATTGGACAAGCACATATGTGACAAAGTGTCACCTGTCCCATTCTGCTGCTCCGAATTAGGGATGAGCTATCAAGAGTCCAAAACCCACCTGACCTATCACAACAGAAAGCTGTTAAAGTGGAAAGCCAATCATAGGCAGCAGAGGGCATCCCCCACCCACCTACATACAGTTATGGCTGTGGAGTGGAAAATGTCCCTGCCACATGATTGGCTGTCCAGAGTCCAATAGTTTATTCCATCAGGATAGCTCAAACAGGTCCAAACTCTGACGGGGGGGTCTGTCTGACAGGCGGGTGTACACGGGCAAATGTCGGCTACTGGTTTTCTATTGCACTGGGCCTAATAGCGGCTGATATTTGGGCCATGTGTACAGGGCTCGAGAAGGCCCAGTAATTCTTAGAATCAACCTTGACACCTTTTTCTTTTTCTTAGAATTATCTGAAAGAAAAAAAAAAATTGATTTCATGTAGAGAATGTCAGGGAAGCAATAGAAACATTGAAGAATGGTTGGTTGCTTCCATCAGTCTTCCAACTGTCAGAAATTAATCGAACGCCAAATTCCATGAACAGAGACTTCCCTATAGAAAGATCACACACTCCGAAGCTGTACAAAGCCCTATTGAAGCGAGTATACAAGGTAAGAAAATTGGACGAAAACATTTTGTTGACCAAGATGATCGACAGATTTGCTTTTCATTGATGAGCAATAGATTATAACCGATAAAACTATATTGGGAAGGAAAAAATCTGGTATAACTGAAAAATGTTGTCGTTACGCATGCGAGTATGACGATTTTCTATGCGGTTCTAATGCGGTTGGTATGACGTGGTCGTCTGAAAAAAATGTATCAAACGCTATCACGCATGAGTGGAAACAGATGATGACCCAGACATTCATGAAGAAACAAGGGGCTTATGAAGATGCTTCCACTTCGCAGCCTGCAAAGTATCTATTAATATGTTCTAATGCCGGTCACAGAGAATAATGCTCCTTCTGGGCGGGAGGGCGTGGCTACAAGGGTCACATGCACACTGCATCACACTTCCACTTGTATGGAAGACGTCAAACACTACGTATTGCTCAAAGGATTTTTTTTCAATTGATTAAATGTGGGCCACGATTTAGACCAACGAACGAATGCTGATCGAGGTCGTTCTTTTTTCTTTTTTTTTTCTTCAGATTTGTTTTGACGATTTTTTTTTTTTTTCTTTTCTCTTTTCTTTTTTTTTCCGATCGGTTTTTTTTTCTTTTTTTTTCTTTTCTATCGTTTTTCTTGCCAATGTATTCCTGCCATTTAGAGTGTCCGACCAGAATTTTATTTGATGCAACATGAAAACCAAAGCAAAGTGTATGGAGGGAATATTGGCTTCATGCTTCTAGACCAATGTTTTTTAACTTTGAATCAAGACACCCGCTTAGTCCCTCCCTCCTGTTGCGTTCCCCCCACAGCAAAGAAGCTTGCTATAGAGGCACTGAGCATGTGCACTCCCAGCCATTTCTCCATGTGTCCATTCACACATTGAAGGACTCTGCCCCCCCCCCCCTCTCTTCTCAGTTGCACACTGGCTGTGATTGACTGCAGGAGTGGGAGCCAAAGGATCCTGCTGCTGTTCTCAGCCAATGAGTAGAGGGAGTCCCAGGATAGCATAGACTCCAGTTAGCATCACTGGATTGGAGGGGAATCTGCACAGAAAAGGTTTTTTTACCTTGATGCATGAAGACTATAAAACCCCTTGAGAGCCTTTACACATTAAACCAAAAGAGCCCATCTTCTTAAGCTTATAGGCAGAAATGTCAAAATACATATTAAAAAGGTAATTAACCGGGGGTGCTCGTGAGCAGCAGGCAGAATGGCTGCCTATTAATTTACTGTCTCGGCCGCCGGACACATCGGGGCCGATTTCTGACCCTCAGGGGGGTCCCTCCGCTTCCTCCTGGCTCCCTGTCCTTCCAGCACCCTGATGGGGAAAAAAAATCTCCGGAGCCGCCCGCACCTCCAGCGCCCAGTGGACCGTTCGGGAGGGTTGCGGCCTACCCGCCGGAGATCGCGGGTAAAGCCGCGGCCTCGATTTTGGGCCGGCTACCGGAGGCTTCCAGGACCCCGGCCACGGATTCGCGGTTTCCGCCTGGGACAACAGCTGACAGCCCTGGCTGCAAGTTTGGGTCCCCCTGCCATCACTACCTGCAGGTCAGATGGATCCTGGCAGTGGGGAGGACCTGGATTCCGAGCCATCCTGGCAGCCGCACATTCCATGCTGAGAGCTCCTGCGCCGCTTTAATGTATGCTGCAATCAGAATGGTTCCCTCCGCTACCTCCAAGCTGGCCGACCGTCTTTCGCGGGAAATTCAGGATTTGGGCATCGGACGAATGATCTCGAGGATGAAATGGACGCTGCGGCCACGGTCATTGAAAATCACGAACAGGACCTGTGCGACCTTTAAGAATTGAATTGGCGGACGCACTACTGCGGCTTGAGGATTTCGAAAAACCGTTTTCCGCCGTGGCAAACTTGCGGTTAAGGGGTATTCCGGAAAACGGTCACGGATCTTACCTCCACTGCTACTGCTCTGTTTCAGGAGCTGACACCCGCTTCCCATTGACCGGCTCCAATTTGACGCATACATCGTTCCTTTGGGCCCCAGACGACGGATGGGCCCCCGAGGGACATTATCATCAAGTTTACTTTATTACCGCACTAAGGAAACATATCCTCTTGGCGGCCAGAAAATAACCCTGATCTTAGCTTCCAGGGGCACCGCTACCAGCTTTTCCGCAGACCTCTCTCAGACCACTCTCCAGAAGCGACGCCCAGTTGAAGCCCTTCACTTCGGTCCTGGTGAAACACAGAATTAAATATGCCTGGGGCTGTCTGTTCCGCCTCACCTTCACCTACCAGGGCCGCAGTCATTCTGTGGCTACGCCGGAGGAGGCCCATTCTCTCCTGGAATCTTTATCATCTTCTCTCGCCGGGAAGCTGCTGATCGGAGCCCGGCTCATTCATCTGGATCCTCGGCAAGGCCGCCTCCTCTGGGCCGCATCTGGGAGCGGTCGTCCAAACAGGAGGGGGGCTCTCCCTCAGAACCGGTGGGCCTGGTTGGGTGGGAGGGGGGTTGGCCCCTATGGTTCCCCGGGTTTCTAAATGCACGTCACCATTGGTGTGACACGATTGCACTGTTGTGTATACTTTTTGTGTCTTTTTTCCTCTTTTTTCTTTCTTTGTTCTTCTCTTTTCTCTGTTTTTTTTTGTTTTTGTTTTCTGCTGGGTTCCGGGACGCCATGGTACCCGATCACCATTGGGAGTGGAAATTGCTGGCTGCTTTGGGCTTTTTTTTGCTGAGCGTTGTTGCGTTGATACCCGCCATGGCCTCACCCCTTTTGAAAAATACATTCACAAAATGTTCAAGGCTTCAATTCGCCTCAGAAACGGGCTAAAGTTTTTCATCACTCTCAAGTCGCAACAAATTGATGTGGTATGTTTTACAGGAGACCAGGTTTTCTCAGTCCTCTGCCCCGCGTTATCTTTCACCTCCCCCCCCCCCCCCCCACTACCTACCAACTTTTACACGGCCTCAGCTCCTGAGAAGCGTCGGGCTCGGTGTGTTCTGATAGCTTTTAAATGCAATCTCCCCTTTGTCTGTGCTCGGAATATAGCGGACCCCACAGGCAGGTATTTGCTTCTGCAAGGCACCCTCTGGGACCAGGAGGTTACCTTTGTCTCTTACTACGCGCCTAACCGTTTCCAGCATAAATTCTTTTCGCATCTTTGCACCATTGTTTCTACACTCTAAGGGTCTTCTTCTTGTTATACGTGGGGGATTCGAATGTTACCTTTGGGATTCCACACTGGATAGGCGCTACGCACAGGGAGCGTCCCCTTCTCATGACTTGGTGTCTGGAGGAACGTATGCGCTCTCTGTTTTGCGGACGGCGGGGCTATACCGGACGTCTGGAGGGAACTTCATCCAACTGAACGCGACTTTAACGTTCTCATTCTAATCCTCATGACAGTTTTTGTAGAATTGATCATATATTCATGCAGGTCCAAGCAAAACTCCCTCGGTCCGGCGGATTACAACTATTCCCTCCTCACCCTGGTCAGACCATGATCACTTTGGTACTCCTCCTTGCCCTTTCTGGGTCGGAATGACGCCTTTTCATTGGCGCATCATATGACTCTTTACAGACCACTCAGGCTACCTGCCAAGAAAATAGAATTCTTCTTACGGACATACTTTACGGAAAACTTGGGAGGCGGTCCCCTCTTCAGCAGTGGCCCCTATGGGA